GGCAGACGACTTCGGACACGGTGCGTTCTGCATAGTCTCCCTGAACACAAGACCAAGTTGCGACAACGAGATCAGCCCACTTCTATAAATCGAAAGGAGACTGCGACCCTAACAGAGGCCACAACATCTTGGTCTTCATATCCTCAATTAATATTTTAATTCTAACAGCAAGGGCTCCACATCTAGGGCTGTTATGTAAGCGTGTCTAAATGCCATCCATGCTCGAAATTCAAATCAATCTCAATAAGAATTTCTTAGTTGTCACATTTAGAGTGGAAACATGAGAATTATGGATAATCCAGCAACCAAGAAAGATATAGTAATTAACGATAGGGTAAGATTGAGATATCTAAGTCAAAACAACGAATGGCCAACAAATAAGATTATGAAGGGCTTAACTTGTCTACAAATATAACCAAGCCAAAACAATGCAAATACAATATTAACCATTGTATTCTCCTTAACATTTTCAATGAGGTAAAATCCAATAAGATCAGACGTATTTGGCCGGCTTCCCAATATTTGCAATCAAGAATTAAAAGCCTAAAACGAAATTGTGGTCTTGAGGTTAAACAAAATGATTATGGGTGAAACTACGAGTAATTACTAGGAAAGAGTTCTGTATTGAGTCTGAAGCTCAAGTAAGCCACTTTGAGTGATGATAATTTCAGTAACGGCCTAACGATCAAGCATGTATATAGGGTGTCGTTTCACTGGCTATCGGCCCAAATGAAATTAAAGCTAACGCAAAGTAAACTATTATATTCACAATGAGGTTGATTCATTTTCTGATTGGTGCCCCATGGAATAAGCGTTGAGCTTACCATTAAGAAATTACTAGTTAATCCATGCATGAAATCAATTAGAGTACAGAAAATAAAATATTATATGTAAGAATGGTTGACCTTTTATTTTATAAGACATTCATATGGATAAGAAAGCAATCAAGTACACACAAGAGACTTAGCAGGAGGAAAAAAGGTGTAAATCAACGCCTAGCGAAGAACGAGGAATGAAAATATGAAGTTTCCAGAGGTGCGTATCATCATTTGTAGATAATATTGCTTGGTATTCTCTCTTGTAGCCAGTTAAGTATAAGGAACACCTAAATAAATAGCCCTCTAAATAGAATGTAAAAGGCATAAGAAATTCGAAATAATTCAAAACAATCAGATATAATCAGGTTGGTGCATGCTTATCATAAGTGGAAAATATCACGTTTAAATTTTTCATAAATAGCAGGTGGAGCTTTGTGACCAAACCCAAAACAAAGCTGCATCACTTAATTCTAAGTAGACATAACATTGGGTAGTAATAATGTAATTTTTATGTAAAGCACCTGCATGGTGGAAGCCCACTCCAGAGCCAAGACAGCGAAACAAGCCGGGATCAAGTCCTGAAGGGCATCGTTTCAACTGTTCGACACAGACCATCAGAGCAGCTCGGTTCAGCCTACCGAAAAGCTTAGCGCCTAAATTCTGAAGAGAGTCAGCTTCGGGGTCGCCTTTGACATCTGGAGATAAATGCTGTTTGAGACGATTTCTAATAAGTCGAAACACCTAATGAAAAAGAAAATAAGAAATTGAAAGCATAAGGTAAACTAATTCACGAAAGTGGCGGGAACCTGAGAAAAATTCGTATTAGTGATTGTTTGAGTGTCAAAACACTAGCTATCAGCGACTCAAACAGAAAGATCAGGCCACATGCATAATCAGCTAAGAAAGATAGTAATGTTGAACATATTTAAATAGGTTGAATTAATATCAGAAGTAACGCTAAACTATCGAGCAATAATCAGCCCCGGACAAACTGCCATTTCGAGAGAGAGAAGCATTTAAGTTAGCCTTGCAAAACCATTATGTATAAAGGGGTCCTGGTAAATGTGTAAATTATCTGTAGGAATCTACAATAATATAATTCAAGAAGCCATGGGCACCTCTTGCTGTATAAGCGCTAATCATAAAGGGCGTATTTCCACCGTCAGCATTGTGACTATAATATATGGTGTCAAGACTATTTTTATGTCGAAGAAATAGCACGAGCTATGCAAAATACCTTTGCAGAGAGGAAATACAAAAGACAGATTAACATAGAGAGAAGAATGGTTACAAATCTGATGGAGTATGAGCATAGTAAACGAAGAAATCGCCTGAATGAAACAATAAGATATATTCTCCTCAATTAATTTATATATTTTTAATGCATAAACACAAGATACTTGATGGTTCAGTGAGCATGCCAGGTGAAAAATTAAAAGAAACATATGAGATGCCATCACCGTAACTAATATTGATCATGCGATACCTAGGAGACCACCTAATACTCTAGTCGTACTCTTAAGATAGATTAATGAAAAAAATAGAAATTCATATTGGACAGAGAAATGCGGGTGAGTGCCGCTCCCTGACTCAGAAGGCACATAAATAAGGAAATACATCACGAAATAAATCAATTCAAGAATAATAATAAAGCATAGGACAAGAATACGTGGTACTCAAAGAGTAATAATCAAACAAGCTCCTGAATGGTCCTCTATTAATCACTAGGAGTATGTTATAAAACTCAGGCAAATAAGTAAACCCACATGCATAAATAATTGGTTCGTGTTAAGTAGATGATCAGATGGGAATTATTAAAGACAAGAGGAAGAGATGTGAGATCGTATTTGACTCCATGTTTGGCAAATGATTACATCGCTCGATCAAAGATTCGTCTAATTCAACAAGCCAAACTGACTCTTAAAAGGTATATGGATACTGCCAGTCGCTTGATAGACTCAAGCTTAGCACCGATTAATCGGGATCGGAGAACATTATGTCAAGACAGATTTAGATGTAAGTTTGGAGCAAAGAATGAAGTTTAACGAACCAGATTTATTGAAACTAAAACAGTTAATACACTGTACTAATAATTAAGTCGATAAGAAAAGGCCCGAGGAAAAAGTATATGGAGTGAATTGGATAATAGGTGCTACTCAGAAGCTCAGCTAATCCCAAAGTGTCGATGAGGACAATGCAGTTCCAGTGAAGGAATCGTCGGACATGGTCAAATATAATCATCTAATTTATAGTTAACGTTTCAAAATAAGCCAAATAGATAATTTTGACTATTAAAATCTTCAGATACATTGGTATTGTTATGCTATGAGTAACAACCATAGCAAGACTATTTTTAACCATTCATTAAAGATTATATATTGGCCGATGAAAATTCGTCAAAGGGAAAACAGTAAGCTTTCATTTTTAAGTGAAGGCAAGTGATAGTAAAAAAACTTGACCCGTTATCTTAAAGTAGTTGAAAAAATAACCCCCAGATCTGACAATATCTCTAATAAAACGTAAAAGCTGCGATCGGTTCAACTGGAACCTAAGATTGTATCAAATGCATCAAACGAAAAATTGTAGTAAAACCAAACGGCATTTTGCCAAAAGGAAGTTAACAAATGAATCTCTCATCGCACTCTCGCTTGAAATTTCTGAGCGAAATAAGTTTGAATCAAAATATTTGCAGAAAAACCCTTATGGGAAGATTATCATTTCGTATGGAAGTACATGATGAGGTGATTCGCAGGTCAATCTTACCAGAAGACGTCGGCTGATTCGCGCTGTACTGCAGCCGTTTGGAATTAATACGGCGTTCAGGTTAATGCAGTCTACGTGACATGACGAACAAAAGCTCAGCCTGTTTTGGCGCGAAACGTTGGAGAATGTCTCGTGGACTGCATCAACCTGAATATCGTATTAAGGCCAAAAGGCTGCAGCACAACGCGAATCAGCCGACAACTTCTGGTGAGATTTACCTACGAATCTCTTCATCATGTACTTCCATGAGAAATAATAGTTTTCACATCAATCTTATCTCAGGAGATTCATTGAAACCAGCATTTTCTTCGTATAGAAAAATCCTTATTACAAAAAAAAGAAAATATTCGTAATTTTATGAATATATTCCGAATAAATAAGCTTGATAACAAATTGGATGGATATACGCTGGGATAATAGAAATTAATTAGACGAAGACATGATGCTAATAAGAAACGGCGTGAGAATCATGTTAATAAAGAAGCAATCCATCATATAAATCAATGGCATTTACGTTACCGTGATAAAATATTTAATTTAAATAGAATAAAACCAAATCTTGCTTTTTGCCAAGAATGTCTCACAATTCGGATTACAATTATCGACAGAAAACACGTCATCGACACAAACTCACATCGCCAACTCCCCTCCAAATTAGTGATTATTCAAAGTAATCCAGGCCTTTATTGAGGGATGCACACAAAAATTTATCGTACAAATAAACAAGTTACTTAAATTCTAATAAGAGTAAACAGTATATAAACCGAACTAATGAAGTTGGTCATTTACTTTTGAAGAATATAATTTTACGGCCGATTTGAGATGGAATGAAAATAGGACAATATGAAGGTATCACAAAAATATAATCTCGATAGTTGTGGTTAATTGCTGCCACTACCATTTGAAAATTTGCCTGATAGCATTTTAATGGACACAGCAGTGCGTACTAACAAAATCTTTAGCAAGGCCAACCTAGTCTGGGCCTAGAGACGAAAGAGAACTTAGTCTCTGTCACCTCACAACATAAAAAAACACCTTATGTTGAGTATTTAAAGCGTAAATCAACTTTATTTCAAGCTAGGTTTCAATAAAATAATTAAAAAGCTATATAAATGAGATATTTGAAATGTATTCATCCTATTTCGTTTAAGGTGGTAGTTTAATTTTCCCACAATCATGAGTAGAGCTCAAGTTTCCATTGACTTCGCATAGCCTTGATTTCCTAAAAGGTGTTCTCATCCTTAATTGAGTGCAGTTCCGATCTTGCCTGGGTCTTATCAACA